ATAATTTCATTTGATAAACACGTTTAGATTGAATGGTAATTTATAATCAGTCACAAGAACGTCGAATCTGAATCACTTGAAAAAAACACGGAGGTGCTTAACTTTTTTCCAGGTGTATATAATATATAGACAGAGTTTCGGTGAACTACAATTATTAGTTTACGATTATGGTTTATAGTAAACATCAGTTCTTTCAAAAGAAAATGTGATCAAAATTTAAAGTATTGTGTTACTATCGCAAACTTTCGCTCAACAAGAAATGGCTGCTTACAAAGAGCTGTAAATAAAAACAAAATTCGCCCTTCTTTTGCAAAAATAAGAGTTTGCTGCTGATGTTTTGTTATTGAAAGCCTAAGTGCGAAACTCTGTCACGGAACCAGAAAGGTACGATTCACAATGGGATGCCTGAAGCTTGTTATTGAACCGATACAAAAATAAAGTTTACTTGGCAGCAGTTAAAGTAGACATCCCAGTTGTTGGAAGGCTTATGTAACAATGGGAAAACACAGCATCCATTAGTTTGGGAAAATTTCGTTTCGAACTTTTTTTTTTTTGTTGTTGTTGTTATTTGATACATCTAAGAAAAAATTTATTAAATAAAAGCAAGTTTATATTTTAACTTTTTAATAAATATTCCTGTACGTTATTATTATTATTTTCTGAGCAAATGTCCAACACAGTTTCCTTTGTATCGATTAAACTTAGTTTTGGTTTTGTGTAAATATTTTTTTTTATGAAAAACAAACAGAATAAGCTACATGTAATTAACATGCTTTGGTGTTTTTGTTTTAGTTGTTGTTTGGGAGGCGTTATGAAAAAAAAATATATTGTACGGCAACTTATGAAACGCCACATACATTGTTTATATACGATGTCATGTCATATTTCGAAACGTGAATAAATACTTACGAATTCTTATGTAACAAATCACTATAATTAAATTATCCATCGTCTTTGACCTTGATTTCCCATTTAATTATTTTCGTGTTTTCTTTCTCGTAGACTTCCAAAAACTTGAGAGGGAGGCGAGAATTTGCCGTAAGCTGAATCATCCAAACATAGGTATGTTTTTATTTTACTGTAATTTTTGAGCCGTGACAGTTGAAACGTTATGGATTGTTCCATAGTGTCTCCTGAAGCTGCGGTTCTTTCGTTGTCATAGCAACGCAATCTTAAAGGTGCGAAGCAGCGATTCTTTTGTGGCCATGGCAACAGTCTAAAAATGTGCAGGTATATATATATATATATATATATATGTTTCATGTTCCACGAACTTGTTCCAGTAATGATAATGATACCAAAAGACGGAAAGCTCATAAATAAAAAATGTGGTTTTCCATAGTACCCAGTAGATGTTATTAGACTGACGTCGGTGTTGTTTTAGCATGCCAGCACAGAACTGCCTGAATATCACATTTGTATTGGAGATTTTACGTTCGTGGATAACAACAATGCACCAAAGTTAGGCACATAACCCTGTAGGTATTAACTCTACACGTACATATGTATGACGTGTGTGTGTATGTATACATGCACACATACGTTTATACCTTTAGTCAATAAAAAAGAAGAGAAGAAATTGACTGGAACTGGCATTGAACGAAACGTAAAGTGTGTGTTAC